GCTGTGAATTGAAATTGTACATATTTAGTAAATCATGCAAACAAAACAAACTTTTTAGACAATATTTTTATTGGAGAGTTTTCTTTTCCTGTATCCATGTTAAAAAAAAAAAAAGACCTCCTTTCCCAAAATAAAAAAATGTCAATACTAAATTTAAAGAAGTATAAAGGAATGATTGCTTCCTTTAGAGCAAAATATTTAAATAAACATGGAGAAAATTGGCAAGATGTTCTTTTTGGGCTAGTAGGCCGTGTCCAATTTTTTGGGTTAAAGTTTCAGAGGGCCTCTGTTTCAGGTTTGAAGATAATATATTAATCTCTGAATTAAACAAATGCTCTTAAGTAACAGGATAAATCCCTCAGTCTTCATTTGTGTATGAAGTGAAGCATTAATCAGAGGCATGACATTGAGACGACACGATGCTGCATATGCCACAAGCTGAAATTCCTCTATTAAACCAGTCACCTACCACCTATAATCTAGTGTGACATATTAAAATACTCCAAAATACAGAGCATGGAAAATGAACATCATCATTCCCATTTGGCCTTGAGAAGAATATGACAAAGATTCTAATAATTTTAGTCAAAGAAAATGATGATTTAAAAATACATGAAGATTAAAGTGGTGACAAATGATCTTTTAAGTATTTCTAATTGGTCGTCCTCATTCATAGCTTTGATTTCACAGAAATTGCAAATCCTAAGGATCCTGACTTGTGAGTGTGCCCCATCAGCTTTCTTTCACTCTACAGAATATGCCTGTTAGGTTGGAAAGAAAGGATAAGACCCCAAAATGTTAAAAATAGACTTCTTCTCTGGCAAGAAATTTAAAATTGGTGAGGACAAAACCCCAGCTTCACATAAGGAAGCATTCAGGGAAAGATTGCGGCCTTGCGATCTGACCATGTCCAGAACAGTCATAAGGAAGTGTGTGTGTGTGTGTGTGTGTGTGTGTGTGTGTGTGTGTGCACGCATGTGCATGTGTGCAAGTGTTTGTGTCTGAGTAAGTGTGTGTGAGTGAATGAGTTTGGTGTTTGTGTGTGTATGAGAGTGTGTGAGTGTATGAGTATACATGACTGTGTGTGTGTGTTTGTGTAGCTTTGCTAAGTTTATGTGAATATACTTGAATAGATTGTATCTTTAAAAAAACGATACTCAAGAGATGGAGTCTAAACAGAGGGCTTATGAGATAGTTTCGATTTTGTTATCTTACATAAATTGAAAACATTTAAAATGTTGATACTGGAAAAGTACAAAGTTCCTAGGAGAGCTTCATAAAAATAGTGAAACAATTTCTAAGGTATACCAATAATTAAATAGAGAAAATATTAAACTGGCTTTTTTTCTCACCACTTAACAAAACTCAGAACAAAACATGCCCTTTCCTTAAACAATAATCACTTTTACCGATTCTTAAAATTATATTATAAAATTTATAATATAAGGCAAATAATTACAGTATATTTCTGTCCAGTTTTGTTTCTGGAAGGAAAAACATACCCTTTAAATTAACTTAAAATACTGATGCATAAAATAATATAAATTTAGAAAGGAGACTCAGAAACCTCACTAAACTTGGAGGAAGCAAGGCAGTACATTTAGTGACCACAGCAACCTGGATCTTGGTTTTCACATGTCTTCTAAACAATCTCACTTCCAGAAGAAACATTTCCCAAAACTACAGGGCAGCCCAAGATCTGTGTGGACACAAAGGAAGAACACCAACTACCGAGTAACCCTCAACCACTTCCTGCCGTCTGAGGCACTCTGTGGAGTTCTACCACCTCATTACTGAACATGCTTAGAAAGTGTGAGTGCATAGGATTCTGGTTAAAGGCAGATCTGAGCAAGAGGGAAAAAATAGAAGCATAAGCCACTCTGCCCAACTTGTTTAAAAAGACATTCCTAAAGTAGGTATGCCTAAGAATAATCGATCTAACTTCTGAGTGCTTACCTTTCTTTTCCTCAATATAACACACATTTACAACACCAAAGACAATTCCATGAAAATGGACCTTTTATCCACT